ATCCTAAACTAGAGGCCCGGTGCACAGGATTCATGCACTGGTGGAGAGGCGTGGTCTCAGGAGGCTTGGCCCTCTGTGGGAGCTCTGCCCATTCTGGTTGCTCATCCTGGTCAGCTGAGTGACACTCCCACTGTGGGAATGCACTGACCACAGGGGGCAGCTCCTGTGTTGAGCATCTGTCCCTTAGTGGTCAGTGTGCATTATAGTGACTGGTTGACAATCACATGTGCATTTACATTTTAGATAAAGAGAAAAAATATTGTGCTGAATAATTACAATTGTATCAAATCCATAACACTGTTCAGTTCCTGGGCTTTTATTATATAGGATAATTTTATTTTCACAAGTACTATCAAATTTATGGTCTCTTTTTTCAAAAATTAAAGCATTACTGATCATACAATAAATTTTCAATCTACCTCTATCTTAGTCCATTTAAACAACTTAACAAAAGGAAGACAAACAATCCAATAAAAATATGGGCAACAGACCTAAATACACACTTCTCCTAAGTGGACATACAGATGGCCAAGAGACATATGCAAAAATGTTCAAGGTCACTAATCATCAGAGAGATGCACATTAAAATGACAATGAAGTGCCACCTCAAATCTGTCAGAATGGCAATCATCAACAAATCAACAAATGACAAGTGCTGGCAAGGATATGGAGAAGAGGAAAACCTTGTACACTGCTGGTGGGAATGCAGACTGGTGCAGCCACTGTGGAAAACAGCATGGGGACTCCTCAAAAAATTAAATATATAACTTCTGTTTGACCCAATGATCCCACTTCTAGGAATATATCCTAAGAAACCCAAAACACCAATCAGAAAGGATATATGCACCACTATGTTCATAGCAGAGCAATTTACAACAGCTAAGATCTGGAAACAACCCAAGTGCCCATCAGTAGATGAGTGGATAAAAAAGCACATTTACACCATGGAATACTACACAGCAGTAGGGAAAAAAAAGGATCTCTTACTCTTTGAGACATCATGGAGGGACATGGAGAACATTATGCTAAGTGAAATAACTTAGTCAAAGAAAGATAAGTATCACATGATCTCATTCATACGTGGAATCTAATGAAAAAAATAAACTGATGAACAAAATAGAGCCAGAGACACAGAATGGGAGAGACTGATGAATCTCAGAATCTCAGAAGGAACGGGGCGGGGGGATAGGGGGTGGGATGAAGAGAGATTAATCAGGAACTTACATGCATATGTGCATAGCCCATGGACACAAACAATGGTGTGGGGAAAGTCTGGAAAGGGTGGCTGTGGGGTAAAAGGGGTGGGAGGGGAGACACATCTGCAACAATAAAGATGAGAAAACAACTGCATTCTATTACTGGGAGTACTTTTATATGTTTTCCTATTTAATTACCTGTGAGTTATCAAATTTTCCATGATGTAACTTTTAACAGTTTCAATAATCCTGAATTCATGTTTGTTCTCAGGAGTGGAAGTATATACTGTTGAGGAGACATCACAACACAACTCTGTCTACACAGGAAAGAAGGGAAGTCTTCCCTACAAGTATACCCGGGAACCTCCTGCCAGGACCTGGGTCCCTGGCCCTTCCTTAAAGCTCTCCATAGTCCTTTAGTTCTGCACACCCCAGGATCTACCCGCTGACGTCTGACCATTGCTTAGTCTCACTATCCTTCAGTAATCCTAGGTGATTCATCACTGCACTGTGGGCTCCAATAATGACACTATCCAAAAATCACACAATTCCTTAAATAAATGAGGAATCATCAGAATGGGTCTGGAGATATAGGAAGAGCCCCTGGAAGAGCGTTTCTCTGGCATCTTTGCTGGCTCTGCCTTCCTACCCTCCACACCAAGTTGGCTACTTCCCATTGAAGCAATCTAGGAGCCAGAGATGGAAGGGTATTGTTTTTTTAAGTTGAGTAGAGAAGAAAGTCAAAGATACTTTCTTTGACTTTATTAAGATATTAAGAATCAGAAACAAGTTTTGCAATGAGGGCTGACACAAATTAGTGTTCTGGATAGGCAAGACAAACACTGAAGACTGGACAGGGAAACCAAACCATGCAGTGTGAGACACAAAGTGTCATTGAAAAATGATACACATTATGCAGCCAAATCAAGCATTGTGGCTGCATGCTACTAGTAAGCCTGTCATCTAAGCCTCAGTTGGGTTCCACATGCACCATCAACCTTCTGATTATAATGTGTATACCCACGTATATTTGCTCATAGAAAAAACTGAGCCTTGAGATTCTAAGAATTCTTAATGTTAATAGGTGTGTATTTGTACATGTACTAGTATGTGTATATGTATATACATGTATAAGCATATAGTCAGCTTGGTTAATATGATTTAATCCTGTGGTAGGAGTATTCTCTGTGTGCTGACATCATGAGACTATCAAGTTAGGGTCCAAATTGAGACTGTAGTAAATTCTTAAAATTAATAAAACCACCTGGCATTCCCATAGCTTTTTCTCCTTTGACATATTTTATGACTCTGCCATCAGAAATAACTATAATCCCCATGGGGAGGCTTAGACCCAATTAAACAAACTTAAGAAAGAGTGACATCATATAGATATTAGTTTTGCATATCAGGGGACATTTGTTCTCTTAATAATCTATACCAAAACTCCTTTGCTTTTAAAGAACATGTGATCAAATTAATAAAATGAATAACTACAATGGCTGAGATCTTTAGAAAGGGAATACGTTCATCAATACATATTGGTTGACAATTTATCTTCAAACAATCATATGAGGTGGTTGATATTATTCTGATTTTACAAATAAAAATATTGAGGCATAGAATGTTAAGAGTTAGGTGCAAAGTTTATAGCAAGCAAGAAACAAGAGAGGCAGGATAGGATGCCAGAACAGGTTCCAAGCCTCACAGCCAGGCTGGTGTCAGGTCTCCTGGTGACCAACATACAGCCCCTCCCCTCCAGTGTGTGAGGGTGCACTAGTGATATTGGCAATGTCTTACATATTCATGAAATTGACTTTAGGATCTCTTCCCTGTCAGATTCCCAAATCCCTACCAAGTGAAAATGAAGCCAGATTAAACCAAACCTGCCTGACTCCCTATTCCCTAAATGCTGTCTCAATTATCACCCATCCCTGGCCGCTCCCTGTTTCATTAGCTAATTGGCTTCCTCAATACTGCCTCTTTATGAAATACGCTGCGTATTACCGTGCCATGAGGCAATGGCCTGGGCCTGTAGAACATCAACTTCTACTGCCATGGGGGTTTTACAAACCTCCTTCAGATAGTCCCACTCTTGTCTCATATGCCCAAGTGTCTGCTTCCATATATGACAGTGAAAAACAAGCCTAGGCCAATCCTTAATGCATCTTTAATTTCACAAATCAGTTTGTCACATCCCCTTCTGATTCCGTTGTTCCTGGTAATGAGATTTCCTTTCCTAGATGAAGTGAGGCACCTCTAAAGTAACAAGGAGTGAAGAACAATAAATACCCTGGGATCCACGTGGCTGCTCTCAACCTGGGGAGGCGGCTGAGCTGCACCCGTCATGGGTGTCTCCAGGAGAGCCAGAAAGGTAGGCTGCATTGCTTATGTTGATAGACTTGTGAATTGAGCCTCCCTTCTTTGTGAAAACACAATTTTAAATCCTAGACGTGATTCCCAAGACCACTGACTCCAGGATTAAAATATAACTGGTAAAAGCCTAGACCATACCATACACAGCTATCTTTAGGCCCTGGTTACCCTCAAAAGGATCAGTTAAGGAAATATATAATTCCATTTACAACTCTAGCACGAATAAAATCATCTGAATCTCTGCACTTTTTTGCAATACAAACAAAGAGTTTGAGTGCCACATATAAAATAGCCATGATTTCTGTAAACAATAGAATATTAGCAAAACATAATTAAACCCACAATATCCTAGTGATCTTATGAAAATACTAATATTTAAGGTAAATATACATGGTACAGTTAATATCTGATTTATTTAACATAACTCATACTATCATACTGAAAGTCACCATTAGTTTTATATTATTTTTAAAATTTTAGTGCTTGAACTGAGCATCCAAGCCCTGCTCTAGTGTAACATAGAACAGAAACTGCAACAAAGTTCACATATATTCTAATGTCATCTCTTGTCTGTTATAACCTAGGTAAAATAGTATGTATTAACTGAAAACAATAATATAATTATATATAAATAATGTCCTTCATGCAATTTGATCTATGTTTCCATGAAAAGAAATGCCTTCTGTTCACCAAATCTCAAGTTGCTTTAGCCTGATGTTCTTAAAGTTTAAAAATGTGATTACCAGTTTTTTTTTCTTCTTGTACTAAATGATAACTCATCATAAAGTGAGCCAGTCAACATCACAGAGCCTTTTTAAATTAGCAGGTTAAAAGAAGAATTGACATAAAGTTCACAATTACATAATTACAGATAATGACTGCCAGGCCTTGCAAATGAACATTTGGCTGCCCTGGGTCTCAGTTTTCCTTTCATCCCAACACTTAGGGATTTGCATTTCTATAAAGAGATTAGACAGTTTTATGCTAAGATCCATTTGCTTTAAAAATTATAGTTTCTTCAGAACAAATGAATTTTTATTCAAATTCTCCAGTGATTGCTTTGATGGATACATTTTACAAATACTACAATTGACTTTTTCGAGTTTATTGGGATTTAATGTGTAATTAGTTTCCTTATTACAGACTGTCTCTGAAATTACACATTTCAGCATAATGGAAATCCATTTAATTAAATGTTGCTGATGACCATCCAGACCCCTGAATCACTTTACCTCTTATGTAGGCTTAAGGAAAACTTATTTTCCTTTCAGAGTTTATGAAATGAAAAGAGAGAACATTATAGGTTTGATTTTAAATAGAATGACAAAATTCCTTGAAAAATTATAAAGTTATCTTACAAAAGTTCTTGTACTAGGAAGATATTAAACTAAGAAAGAAAAAGATATAAGGAGGAAAAAAGGCTTTACTTACCCGGTGTGAAATTGTATCGAGCTGAAAATCCCATAGATTCCAGCTCACCATCAGCAAAAAATTTAATCCATAGAAATCTTCCACTGGATTTTATTGTAGGTGGACTTTGTTTTCCACAAAAACGTCCAATTATTGGAGAAAACCCAAAGGGTCCATCTCGAACTTCAATATGATCAAATTTGCACTCCCAAGATGGTTCAATAGAGTACTTTTCATCGAAATGAAGTTCAATGCACTGTCTTGGGGCCGCTGAAAAAACAGAAAAATTATATCTAGAAGGCCCTTCTGAAATCTTGAAATTGATTTTTCTGATTCTACTTCAGATTTTGTCGGCACATCTATCAAACTTTAAGCATGAGACACGTGGAAAGACAAAGCCAGTATGCTATCCTTAGCTTTGCAAATTAATATTTCCATAAGGAAGTCTAAGGGATGATCTTCAGAAATCGCACAAAATATTATTCTGATATCAAATGACCATTTTGATGCCCAACACAGAAGTAAATAATATCACACTATTTTTGTGAAAGCCTGCTAACTCAGGTTTAGAAAGTAGAGAGGCATCTTTCTGTCACGTTTTCCATAATTTCTGTACTACCCAGTTTTAAGGTCACATGCCACTTGAGGATGGTGTGGCAGTTATACAACCATTCCAATAGTCCCAATCAGATGGCCCTGATAATATCAAAGTGAGTGTACAAGGCAATGAAAAACAATCTTTCTTTTAGTACAAATCTTACCATATCACTCTGTTTCAAAATTACCCAGTAACCTTCATAACATCTCCAGTAAAATGATCAAAACAAGACATATAGGATCCTTAAGGTTACTCTCCAGCCCATATTCCAGTATTCCAGTATCTCCTTACTTTGTGTGCAACCCAAGCTCAGCTCTCTTCAGCCAAGCCGCCGCCTTCTTCTTCTTCTTCTTCTTCTTCTTCTTCTTCTTCTTCTTCTTCTTCTTCTTCTTCTTCTTCTTCTTCTTCTTCTATAGCACACTCTTTGGGCTTTGATGTATTTTTCCACTTTCTTGAGTATCTAAATACCTCCCATTTGTTAACTCCTGTTTATACAGGCAAATCTCATTTAAAGGAAACCTCTCTAAACCTATCACTAAAGACAAGACCATATCTATTCACCTTTTTCCAGCACTCAGCACAGTACTCGCCAGTGAGGACTTCTCAAAATCATCTTTGTTGGTGATTTGTACATGAGCTTCTAATCTTCATAAACGTGTTTACAGCTCTCTAAGGCATAGTTCTAGGGCAGCTCTAGAAACCTCCGAGTAGGTACATTTGCTAGTTACCTTTTACTCTTTCCTTGTGAATTCCACACAGTTCCAAATGCAAGCATTCTCAACTGATACTCAGCCAAGATACCCCAGAACAGCCGGAACAGTTGTTGAAGTAGCCATACACATCTTTCTTAGTTTGTAAACAGCTGTTGACTTGAGTCTTCTGAGTGCATCTCAGCCACTTGGCCCTTTTCAGGGACCAAGCCCCTCCAGACACTTGAAAGTTAACTCCTGGCTCAGCGAGGCCTGCTCCTCACATGGCCAGAAATCATTCTGAATGACTGCTGTCCACACCACTCTGGTTCTCAGATATGTATTGAATATCGCCCTTGATGGCTTAAAAATTAAAGCTTTGCATGCATGGATGTAAAAAATTTATGTAGATTTGAAATACATGATGAATTGAAATTAGAGATTTAAAAAATAAAAATGTAATCTTGATGCTTTCCAAAGATAAAATTGAAGCTTAATTGGTTAAAGGTCAATGCATGTTAAAAGACTATTTTATGGATGATTTTTAATCTCTAAAGTTGTTTCTGTGTCTTTGGACATTTATAAGTAAAATCAAGAATAGTTCTATCTAGCACTAATGTGTATCACATAGTCAACAAATATAGTATCTACCATAACAGATTTGAGAAGATATCAACGCTTTTTTTTTTTTAAGTCTGCAAATTAGAAAATATCATAAGTAATTACCTGGAAAATCATGTTTTACCCCCTTAAGTCTAATAACAAAAAAGCAAATGCTTAAGAAACTGGACCTATTCATGTATTAGCATCAAAGTGCCATTTGTATGTACTATTATCCGATAGAACGTGTCTATCTCTTCCTTGATAATCCAGTATCGGTTTTATGAGGACACAACTGTCAGAATAAAGGATATTTCTTTTAGAAATAAATACGTAATGTATGCTTAGGGAAAGGGTAAGCTAATTTAGCTAAAACTCTACAAATCAACATAAATCCATGTATTGTCCCTACTAGAAAATACATGGTGATCTAACATGAATGCATGTATTTGTACTTTCATTTTCATTGTTGCTTAAGTTCTGTCCAACATGGATGCATCAACCTCTCAATGTTCTTTCAGGAAACATGCTATCATACAGCACTGGGTAGATCACGTCATATAGGGACAACTCATTTTCTTTGGTCCAGAATGTTGAAGTTAACTACACACACATGTGAAATTCCACTGACTGAATTTTAGAAAGTAGTAACATAACTTTTAAAAAAATAAGTGTGTCATATAGTTTTGTGGCAGATGAAAAAATTAACAATTATAGTGTATGTGAACTACATGCAACTCTCTAGATCCAACTCCATAAACTTCCATTTCCATTTCTTTCCCTTCAAATCTCTCAAGTCACAGCTGTCTTTCATTGTCAAACTCTCTACAAGCCATTTTTGATCTGAAATAGCTTCCTTTTCAAGAGGTTTTAACCTCTTTGGACATGTTGAGAACTACAAATACTACACATTTATATAGACTATTGCCTCCTATTTGAGGAAGTCGTAGGACATCCTGAAATCCATTAAAAAGAACCATTCCTTCTGTGATTGAGACTCCACCTGTATTGATTACAACTTAACTTTTAAAAATTATATATATATATATATATATATATATATATATATAATTGATTTCAAAGAGGAAGGAATAGAAAGATAGAAACATCAATGATGAGAGAGAATCATTGATCTGCTGCCTCATGAACATCCCAGCACCGGGGATGGAGGCTGCAGACCAAGCTTGTGCCCAGACCGGGAATGAAACCATGACCTCCTGGTTCATAGGTCAACACTCAACCACTGAGCCAAGCCGGCTGGGCACAACTTATCTTCTACCATTTGCAACAACATGGATGGAACTAGAGAGCATTATGCTAAAAGAAATAAGCCAGTCAGAGAAAGACAAATATCACATGATCTCACTCATATGTGGGATATATTGAACAACATAAACAGATGAGCAAAAACAGATCCAGAGACAGAGAAGCATATATCACACTGTCAACCCTCAGAGAGAAGGTAGGGGAAGGTGGGGGTAAGAGAGAGAGAGATCAACCAAAGGATTTGTATGCGTACATATAAGCCCAACCAATGCACACAGATACCAGAGGGGTGAGGGCATGAATGAGGATGAGGTGGGGTGGGGGAAGAGGGGATAAGGACATATAAATAATACCTTAATCAATAAAGAAAAATAAAATGAAGAAACTTGACCAACCCTTATCCCTCTTTATCTTGTATTTTTAATTTACCTTTTCCTACAGAACAGGCAATTCTTTACAGAATTAAAGATGACAATTCCCACCATTAAAAGAAGAGAAGACAAAGCAAAAAAGAAACTTAATTTCCATGGTGGGGACATCAATACCCTCAAGGCTCCATTCACTGGGAGTTGGCTCCACTCCCTACTGTGTCCATGAGAATACACACCCTGAAATGACTAACACATTCTAAATTGCCTCACACAGTAGGAGCATTTGCTTTGAACTGATTTCCACCCCCCCCCGTGATATAGCAGCTGGTTCTTTGGCTGTTCCGTTTCCTAAAACTTAGTCTACTCAGCTGCTGTGACCTTATGTCTGAATTCCAGCCCAAGGCTCTGGCTCTGACTTCTCCTTCTCTTTACTCTGCTCATCTCTTACACATTGTTTCCCAGAAATTCTATATCTTCTTTCCTTTCTCTGGAGACCAGTGCTGAGTGCCACTGTCATCCCAATGGAGAGCTATTGTAATACAATGATGCCTGCAGCTTTATCTAAAACCAATTAAATCAAAACTTCTGGGGACAGACCTAGGCATCTATATATATATTTTTTTTTAATTGATTTTTGTACAGAGAGGAAGGGAGAGAGATAGAGAGTTAGAAACATCGATGAGAGAGAATCATCGATCAGCTGCCTCTTGCACCCCCCCCACTGGGGATATGCCCGCAACCAAGGTACATGCCCTTGACCGGAATCGAACCTGGGACCCTTCAGTCCCCAAGCCGACGCTCTATCCATTGAGCCAAACCGGTCTCGGCGGCATCTAGATATTTTTAAAGAGTTGAAAAGTGTTCCAAATACTCTCTTGATGATTTTATTCAGTGTCTTCAGCAGTAATCTCTATATCCTCAACAACCATATCTAACATCCTTAACAACAATCTCTATATTTATGACTCGTAAATATATATTTTTTCAGCCCAGAATCCTCCACTCAAAGATCTATATATCCAATCTCTTATGAAACATTTTCATAAACACCAAAATTGAACACACTATTTTTCCTTTGAACACTCTTTCTCTACCTATATTCCTTATCTGGTGCAACAATTACATCTAAGTCACTAAGTCAAAAATTTGAGTATGGTCCTGGTATCCCCTATTCTCTCATTCCCATGCCAGTCATTTATGGTTCAGTTTCCTAAATACAGCTCATTCCTTCCTTTGTTCTATCACCAATGTCATTTCTGTAGTTCATGCTTTTGCTATGATTCATGTTTACTTATTCTTCCACAATAAGTTTCAAGTTAACATTCTTTTCCTTTAGTCATCTCATCTTTTTAATTCTCAAAATTATTTCAGCGGTACCTCCATTCTCTATAATTCAGACTTTCCTGGGGGAACATGGGGGATCCCAAGTTCTCCTGTATCTGAGACAGCTTCCTTGCTGGTTCCTGTCCTCACTCACAGCAGAAGCCGATGACACTACATGTGGGTCCTGAGTATACCTTATCTCAACTTCATTCCATAGAGAGAATGGGCATCTCCTACATGTTCTTCAAAAAGAAGCGTGAACATCTCCTCCTGCCTGTAGCCTTTTTTCCTTCCTCATTCCACACACAGTGCTAGCTGGGAACTCAGAATTATTTCCTGAAAGTAGCATAGTCCCTAGACCATATGGTAACTTCCACAAGTCAAGGGTCATGCCTGTGTTGTTTGGCACCCTCTAAACCGTACCTAGAAGAGTGGTTATATCTTGGTAGTCATTGCAGGAAATATTTGTTAAATAAATGTATGAATAAAAATGACTAATACGAAGTATTTCAAAAAAGCTATAGAAGTATGATTAATAGTAACAGGAGATTCTTGTTACCAAATTTGTTTTGTCCTTCCTGTCATTAGGAATGAATACAAATACATGCATGATATTAAAATCAAATGTTAGCAATGCTTTTTAATTCTAACTAATGATAAACGAGGAAGCACATTAACATGCAAGGATTTGCTTCTGAATTATTTAAATGAGAAAACTAGTTATTTTTATTATTTTTAATAATTTGGAAGTTAAAATATTGTTGCTTCAAAACACAAATTACTTGAATTTAAACCTCAGTTTACTTATCTGTAAAATAGGCACAATAAACATACCTACTTCCTAGGACTAAATGCTTTAATCAATTATGTGATTTTAAAGTTCCTAGCACATCTACATAATAGATATGTAGCATTAGCTTAATAAAAAGAACTGATTTTAACCCAGAATTTCCATATTTCAACCTCCTTTTCTATTAACCATAAGAGAAAGAAACCATGACAGAACTCAGTATTCTCGGCTTACTCTTTCTCCTTCTTCTAATAGAGAGGTGCATCTCTGCTAAAAGTTCAACTGCAAGTATAACAAGAAGAGAGAAAAGATCCTGGCCTAAAAATTACAGAAATAAAAAGACTCATTTCTAATGTGAAATCAGTTAAATATAAAGACCTTTTCTTTAAAAGATAAATCAAATAAATGTGTCCCTTGTTTACTGGTATAAGTAAATACCAAGCACACACATATTTTTATTAAGCTCTGTGTCTCTCTGTCTGTGTCAGGTTGGGAAAGAGGTTGCAAGTTTTGGGTTATTACTTACTAACACATATTAAAACCAATCGCTAGATAAAATGTTCATCTATATTTCTAAAAACTATATTTAATATGCAGATATCTACATGGGTAATAGTAATAAAATGTTCAAAGAGAATTAAATATCTTTTTCAGCACTATTTATGTTTCTAGCTTGGAGGAAAAATGATGAAAAAAGGCATCACAACTTGGAATCCTGACTTCGGTGTTAAAGTATGATAATGTTGCCTGCTGGTACAAACTAAGGCAACTGCTGTTCAGTCTAATATTTGGAAAATGTGATTAGAGATTTATTTCTGACATTCATGTTTTTTGTGTTTCACATTAGATAAGAGAAAAATAACACATGTACAGGTTTTTGTCATATTTGCTAAACTAGTAAAATACCAGTTTCCCAAATTGTGACACATTAGGTATTTTTTTTAATATATTTTATTGATTTTTTACAGAGAGGAAGGGAGGGAGATAGAGAGCTAGAAACTTTGATGAGAGAGAAACATTGACCAGCTGCCTCTTGCACATCCCCTACTGGGGATGTGCCCGCAACCAAACTACATGCCCTTGCCCGGAATCAAACCTGGGACCTTTCAGTCCACAGACTGATGCTCTACCACTGAGCCAAACAGGCTTCAGCGCACATTAAGTATTATTAGGCCAACTTTGCATCCATTCTATTAATTTAGAATTCCAAATAAATTAAATCAAATGCCAAATAAACTAAGTTGTTGATGTGTTTGAGATTCTCAGAATTTACTTGTTCTTAACCCATTACTACCAATTTCAATAATTAGCTTAAGTCCAGATTTTAGTTATTTGATCAGCTGGGAGATATTCATGTGCAGGGGCTCCAAAGCCAATCTCTGTAATGTCTCTATGCACACTGTCCACATGCTGCTCACCTTCTATGATGTAGATGCATTCTCGGTCAGGGGGGTACTTGCTGGGGTAGTTGGGAGAGGTAAAGACACCTCCCTCCGCATGTTTTGTCCAAGTTCCACACTGCACTGACTTCTGTGTTTCTGAAGTGGTTTGCTTCTCTGTAAAACAATTTTTAAAAGAGCTGTCATCCAAATTTCTATAGAACTAAAAATAGAGAACACGTTCTTACAATATCCATTAGTAAATTAATTTCTAAATGTTGTCTTAGTGAAAACCAATCAATCATAAACACTAACCAATGGTCATATATCCTGGAATATTAAGGATATGGGAAAGATGGGGAAAGGTACATAATTAGAGGCCTCTCCCCCACAATTTTCCAAAGTAACATACCTGGTCCTTTTTTGGTTGCCCCAGACAAATGGAGGATGATTAAACTTGCTACAACTGAAACAGAAAAGAAAAATTAGAAAGAAATATTATCAATATACAACAAAATGATCGAGATCTGTAACAACACAACATAATCTAATTAATAATAAGATATCAAATCTGATTAATTTTATTTTTGTTAACTATTCCAACTTGACTCAGACCTTGCCCACACTGATTCAAATTGCACAAATCAGGAAAAGTTAGGAAACCCTTCGGGAAGTACATGCCAGTTAAGAATGGATGAGACCCAAACCCCTCAGGCAAATGCCTGCCCCAGCACTCAGAGGCAGTATTATTAATAACCTACCCATGTCCCATGCCAGTAGGATATCAGACATGAGGGTTTGTGCTAGGGCCGATACAGGAAGAGAGCTTGGCAGCAGGTAAAAGGGTGAGAAGCAATCAGACCCCAGGGCTGATGCTAACACTGCCAATGCTATTGTGTTTTAGAAAATAAACACCTAGCAAATCTTATGGTGGAAAGGGAGAGGGGAACAGAGAAAAATAAATCACAGTGGATTGGAAACATATAGCAGGACTATAAAAATGTTCCTTATAAAAAGGTGCTGTACTACCAAGTTAAGCCCATTCTCAGCATTTTCTAAGCTATAAAATTCATCTCTTCTAACCACAACTTTGTTTTAATATTTAGGATTCTCCAGAGGTAGATTATTAATTTCACAAAAGAGATTACTTATAAGCATGCTGTTGGGTCAGCTTTTCAGTCTCAAAGAGACTCTGATCTGTCACTTAACAAAGACTATCATAACCTGAACTTTCTGTTTACTTCTATCATTCTTGATTCACTCACCATTTCGACAAAACCTAAAACTAGAAATGTGTTAAACTAATCCAGTCTTCATCATTCCTTAATTTTCCTCTCCTACTTTATTTTCATGTTGCTGCTCAGTTATCTAAAAGTTCTAAGTTCCTTCCTAATGTTTCCAATTAAAATGAGTTTGGGAAAGGGAGGTTAAAATTCACAAGGATTTCCTAAGCCTAACTCACTACAGGAGCTTATAAATAGCATGCTTAAAGATTACTCCAAGAAAAAAAAAGTGTCTGGGCCTTGATTTTAGCATTTGAGAATTGCATCCATTATATGACCGTACTGTGGCTGGTTCAAAACATTATCATGTTGTTGTTATCATGTATGTTTAAATAGAACAAGCCTTATTTTAACTTGCCAGGGCTCTGTACACACACAAGCACCTGGGAATACAGCCATCAATATCAGCACATATGTTTGGTGTTCTGTGTACTCTGTTTCTCCTGTTCTGATGGAATCACGTTGTAGAAACAGGTACTATTGGTAACCTATCAGCCAACCCGGGCCTTTCAACTGTGTGGCCTGGGATTAACTCTCTAATCCTTGCTTTGTAATGTGAAATTTCCAGCACACGTTTCTTAAATTGCTTTTCACTTGATGACTTTTGATGCTATTTTCCTCCCATTTCTTTCCTATCATTGCAAGCAAATCACACACTCCTCAAGCCACACTAGCGGTCCCACTGGCCAGAGTTGAGGGTCCTTTGCCCTCCGCCCCAGGGCTGCGTTCCGGTGTGCTCTAAACTATGTACTGGGGGGCATGTGGGCCGCTGGCCTCCTGAAGCCCCCGAAGGAGGACTATCCCCTTCCATCCCGCAAACTGTCTGCTCCTGCGCCTTCCCTGGGGCCCACTCCCTGGTCACTGCCGCACGTGCGCATCCCAAAACTACTAGCCATCCTCACCCCCGGATAATCCTGCGCACAGAAAGGCTGCTCTCCCCGGCGGATGCTGACACCCGGCCACCACTGATCGCGCTGCCCCCGCGCCCCGTGGCATTCTGCTGCAATACAGAAAGTTTCCGCCTGCCCCGGACTGGCGGGGACTGCGGGTTCTCGGGAGCAGCGGCCGCCAGGGAGGGACCCGCGCGGCCGGCGGGCGGCGGGAGCGGTACTCACTGTGAAGCACACTGCGTCCATAGATCATGTCTGTTCCTTACACCAGAGGCTCCGGGCTCCACTAATTCCATTTAGAGACGGGAAGACGTCCAGTGGCGGGGAGAGGACAGAGGATTCGAGAGATGTGAAATAGGCGAAGCCAGGGCAAAATGAAAGGGGGGAGCGAGAGAGGGGGAGGGAGCGGGGGCGCAAGACGAGATCCGAGCCCACAACAGCAGCAGAAAATCCGAATCCGTGCGTCCTCCACCGCCCCGGCTCGCTTTCGCCGTCACCGCTGCGAAGAAGCCAGCATCCCCACCATGACGCTGGCATCACACCCGGGCGCCACTCGCCACCATCCGCGCCGCCGGCGGCAGCGCCCTCCTCCTTTGCATCATCGCCGCCGCCGCGGCTGTCTGGAGGGCACGGGCGGTGGGCGCGAGCGGAGAGCCCGGAGGCGCCCGGAGCTGGGGACCGGGGACCGACGGCAGCGACGGTGCTGGTGGTGGTGGCGGCGGCGGCGGCGGCGACGGCGGAGGGGCTGCTCAGTCCCTGGTCTCATCCACCACGAGCAGCAGGTTGGGGCAGCCTCGCCCGCCGGGAGGACGCCCGGCAGCCCTCCTCCGTCCAGCCCTGGGGGATCTTCCGCTGAGGCATCGGAGACAGGAGGAAAGGGGCTGTCATCGGCCCGCCGGCTGCGCACCAGCTCCGCGATCTTGCGGGAGGAGAGAGTGGTGGGCGTCAGGGAGGAGGGCTGGAGGGTGGCGGAGGGGCCCGGGGGTGGCGGGGGGAGGGGAGGGGGGAGGAGAGGCGGGGGGAGGAGGGCGGGGAAGGAGCAGGAAGATGGCAGAGTTACCAAGTGGGAGCGTTAGTCAGAGCCGTGGGCTGCGCGCCCCTCCTGGCAGCCCCGGGCCGGGGTGAAACGGAGCGGCTCGGCCGGCGCCCCCCGGGCTGGTGCATGGCGGAATGGGGCGGCGGCAAGGACGGCACACCCTCAGGGATCCTGGGGGAGGAGGGGGAAGGAGGAGGGGAAAAGAGGGGGGAGGAGGAGGAGGACCAGCCTGGGATCCGCCACTCGCCACCGGGGCCAAGGGGGCCAGAAGGCGGCCAGCACGTCCCAGCTGGATCCTAGCGCCGGATAAAAGGCGAGCGAGGGGGAGGGGCCTCCAGGTGGAAATCCCCTTCTCCGGGGGCTCATGTTTCACTTTTTAAGGGTCGGACGTGGCCGTCGCTCTCTCCCCCGCCCCTTCCACTCCATCAGTCTGGAGGGAGCGGGTTCGGGATCTTTTCCAGGGTGCCGGCTCCGGGGGGCACAGCCGGCTGGGCGCGCGGCCGCCTCGTTGGCCGGGAAAGTTTCCCGGTTGATCTCCGGGCTCGGTGCGGAGGTCGCCGGCACCAAACTGTGCATGCAAAGACGTGGGCTTCTCTCTACCTATCCCCACCGTCCCCAAGAACTGAAACCCCCAAGGCACACACCGATTACCTTCCACCCACCCAACAGGGGTAGGCTCACGCGCAGGGAGTTAATCTCGGGGCGGGGGGGGGGGGGGGGGGAGAGTTGCCGGGGAGACAGCCCGGAAAAGCCCCGGCTCCTAAAATGCAAATAAAAGAACAGGAAAGAACCTTACACAGGGTGGCTGCAGAGGACCGAGTAGCGGGAGTGCGCGGACGTACGGAGGGGAGTCCCTCCCAGCTCAGCAGCCCCCCCCCACCCCTTCCCTCCCGGCTCCCTTTCGCCTCCGGCAGCTGCGGGCTGGGCTGCCGGACCAGCGCACACAGGCCCGCGAACCCGGGCACCCAGGGGAGCTCAGCCACACACCACGCGCCCCCGGCTCAGCTGCCGGCGCAGAGCCCAGGATGGGGATGGCGGCGATGAGGGGATGGGATAGAAAGAACTAAGGTGGGGAGCGGAGAGAGATCACCTCAAAAGCCTCGAGAGATGGGAAGGGGCCGCTAGAGGGGGCCCGGAAGGCGCTCAGAGCCAGGCCCGCCACTCAGGCACCTGCTGCTGCCTCGGCAGGGCTGGGCCGCCCACGCCCACAGAAGAGCGCGCAGATGTGCTGGGTGCTCGCAGTCGCCCAGCCCTCGCTTTCCCTCCGCGATGCTTTGGAGAGGGTTTCGAAAGATAACGAGGCGAACCCCAAGTCTAAGGGGATCCACGTGCCGCAGAAGCAACCTCCCAGGCTCCTTCTACCAAGAGTTTGATTCCTTGATTCCAGGCGTCTCCTGCAAGTCCTTGAAGGAGCAGAAAAGTCAGCTGTGTGTGTGTGTGTGTGTGTGTGTGTGTGTGTGTGTGTGTGTGTGTGTGTCCTTTTAACCGCAGGTGGGTAGGTGGGCAGGCAGGATGTAGGGGATAACTAGAGCCAGAGAACAACAGAGGGATGGAGGGACTGCGCACCGCAGAGCCAACTCCAGCAGAACCCTGCGCAGGCACAGGAGCTCCAGGCTCCAGAAAGGAGCTGCCTGTGCTGAAGGATGGGACACGCCCCGAGGAGCCTCTCAGAACCACCCCCCCCCCCACTCCCACCCCGCGATAGTGTGTCTGCACACGGATGTACTTGTAAGAGGACCAGGGGCAGAAGGTCCCTCGGATTCCTGTGACCCACGTGGGATTGTCCTGCCAGTTCAGGAGTTGAGGGGTGGGGGGTGAGAGGGAGGGTTGGTGGGGGGCAGAGAGGTTGAGGAAGAAATGCCCCAACTGCACAGAAGCAGAAAAAACAAAGAGTAGTGGTAGCGCTAGGGAGGTGACAAAGGATGCTGGTCACCAATGGGGCAGGGAGGAGGGCCTATGAAAAATGGCCAATGATGGGATATGATGGTGTCATGTTGAAATCTTTAGGATTGGTTGATAATTTTTTTCCCATCCAGAGATACATTTTTATAAAAAACGATTAAATCTTTCAATGAAACAGTGATGAGTTGAAAATTATTATCAGGGAAATTTACTGCATTCCTCAAGTGCAGTTTGAAGATAGGAAGGCAATTTGGTCTTTGATAAATCCATTCACTCAAGTATGTCTAACCTTCTCCCTCCTCTTTGTCCAGGTTGGTTTCTCATGATACATACTTTGTTACCTGGCCGGAGTAAGAGACAGGCTTCTGAAATGTTGCTAGACAAGTGGTCCTTGAATGGGAATGGGGAGTGGGTCCAGGAAACTCAGGAAGGAAATCCCAGGGAAATGATGAAGGGGCATGGGGTCCACACCCTTTGTTCATGTACTCATTCCTCCCATAATCCAGTGGCCAGTAGGTCTGTGATTGAAATTAAACTCTCATACATACTGTGTCTTTGCTTTGTGAACCCAGTGGTGTCCTGTGCAGTGCCTGGGGCTGAGGGATTGAACATTTGCTCCAAGCTCCGGGTTGAGGTTGTGAGTGTGCGGTCCTGGATCCCATGGTCTGTGACAGAGGCACGCTCAGGTTCTGTGTCCCCTCACCAAGGGACCAAGACAGGTAGCTGCTGAGACTCTACACAGCTTCCCTAATCCTACCAAGCTCTGGTTGTAAATTTTCCTCAAGAATTCCATTTGTTTTCCTACACAGAGACACACACATACTTTCAACCATCCACCACATCCTACTAGCTTGGCAAACTGCCTTCTTCACACTTTGGGGCTCTGAACCACTGCTTGCTGAGCAATGCTACCTCCCCAATGGGACCCACACGTTGTGTGTGTATGTGTGTGTGTGTGTGTGTGTGTGTGTGTGTTTTCTTTCTTTCTGAGGAAAATTAATATATGGGAAAGTTCAGCTTCTCCAAAGGAAAGTTAAGTACACATATGGTCAAATATCAGTATGTGATATTTCTCATGGGAGAGCATATAAACTGATAGCATTAATAAGCCCAATAGATTATCTAGAAGAGGGTGCTTTATCAGGGTTCTCCAAGGCTAGCACCAAAACAGACACTACTTACACAAGTTACAGTAGAACTGACACTTCTTAAATACAGTTAAGGAGTCATTGGTTTCCCTTAAGCTTGCACCTCATAACGATAAATGGTAAGGATTTCCAAAAACTTAAAAAGAATTGGTGCAGGAAACTGCTCCTCTGAAGCAAGGGCAAGTAGTCTACACACTCATAGTTTCCGAAAGAAATTAATCCAGTTCCAGGACTCCCAGGGCTCTCTCATTAATTGGTCTGCGGCATTGGCCTCTTCTCCCAGGTTATTTCTGTGTGGCTATAAGAGGTAATGTTACACACACACACACACACACACACATAACTGAAAGAAAATAATGCTTCTGACACAATCTTTACACTGAGTGGCACCAGATTATTATGATCTCTGAGTGCATAATAATCTGGCCACTGTATGTATGTATGTGTATATATATATATATATATATATATATATATATATATAGTGCATGAATTTGTGTGTGGTTGGGGTCTGGCCAGGGGGAGGGGACATAGGCAGTTGGACAGCCTGCCTGCTGGTCAAACTCCTGGTCAAGAGGACAATTTGGATATTAGCCTTTTATTATATAGGATATATACTGAGTGGCCAGATTATTATGCATTCAGAGATCATAATAATCTGGCCACTCAGTGTATTACATTAGTTCCTTGAAAACTTCTAAATATGTTTTCATTTACATAATTTTGAGATGTAAAGTTCCGTTTTGTATTTTATGAACTGAACAATATATAAGTCATAACAGTTTATCAAACACATTTAGGGATAAATCATTTGTTGGCAAATACTGGAATGTTTTTAAAAATTATCTGCAATTCTGTAGCAGGCCACTGGCTTTAAGTAGCATTTGAGTGGCCATTTATTTCCAGTCCACAATCTGTGAATGCATCACAATAGAGTACAGAGTCTTCATAAAATAGAAGAGTTCAAATATTTGAAACCTTACATTCAAACCATACAGGGTTGCTAATGAACATGACTACAGAAATAACTCCGGGTTTTCTGAGAAGGACAAGTATGAAAATGCTATTGTATTGTTAGATAGCCATGAGAATATTAGCCTCCTGTGGGCAAGAACTATTTTAGCATTAGTCTCTTCCACCAGGACATACAGATCCATAGTTACTGTCTGTGCTGCTTCAGATTAAATGACATTTGTGTTTTAGAAACTAGAGCACAAACTCTGCTTGGAGAAATGCCAGGGAAATGCAAATAATTCCCTTACCCATTGATCTCTGCTAAAATTTTAGAAAGACTTTATTTTCCTTCTGATTAATATTTAATTGACAGTGGTTTATAAAAACATCAATATGTTTTGATAACCACCAGCCTAAGTAATAGCTAGCACTCGGCAAATAGGCATGAAGGAACATTTATAAAGATATACCCTGAGTCAGAAAGGGAATTGCTCTGTGAAGGGGCCACCTTTGTACTGACTATCATGCTACATCATCTACGTACTGTTGTTTTGGGGAGAAAACAAGTTTCCATCTCTAGTTGAAAAATAGAAAAAAATGTTGAATGAAAATACTGCTTTTTTTAAAGAATAGCAAAGCTATTTATCAATCTCCTTCCTTTGACTGACCATTCTTGCTTATACTAATCACGTATAAGGAAATGTCCCAAGTATTTTTATTTCCTTTTGCCATTTCTTCCAGTTGTAGAGCAAACCAAGTGACAAAAAAATTTACCCTTTCATAAAGAAGTGACATCGCGGCAAAATTTTTGCCTAGCAGTTATGGTTGTGATATTTTAAAAATCAAGGGGAAATGTCATCAATGCTTTTTGGTAAATGTATCATTTAACATAAAGAGTCTTCAAAATAGTTTTTAAATTGACATACACAGTTAATTTTTCAATACATTTCTCTGGGAAATAAAAGGATTTATTATAGTTATTAGTGGGTTATGCATAATACATGACTCCTGTCACAATTGCATCCTTTCAAAATTGATGCTTTCTAATGGAGTGAAAAGGATTTAAAAAAAAGATGTTGGAAATTATATGAAGCAATAGCATTCCAAGGGCCACTCTGAAAGCTGTCCTAAAACAATCCTCTGAGCAGAGTAGGCATT